TGCGGTGTGGAACTGTGGAGGGCTGGGTGGGTCCTCTACAGTTTCCCAAATCCGAGTGCAATTGAGGTCTCACCATCCACATTTTGTATTCCTATCTAAAACAAAAAAAAAAAAAAGCAAATGGTTTTGTGAGGAATGTAAGTAATAAGCTAGGTTTTGCTGACAGAAGGGAAATAGTAGATCCCAAAGGTAGTAGTGGTGGCCTTGTACTCCTATGGGACACCACAGTTATTGTGCATCAGGTGTATAGTTCTACTTTCTTTATTGCTGTTCAATTTCAATTATCTCCAGAAATCACACATTGGGGCATTTTTGTTTATCTCAGTCCTTGCAGACAGCAAAGAATAGAACAATGGGCAGCATTGGAGCAGGAAAAGAGAAAATGAGGGTTAAGCTGGTTTATAACTGGAGACTGGAATGACCTCAGATCAAATGTTGAAAAGCTTGGAGGACTCCCTAGACATGACATTAGCTTTGTTGGATTCAACGACTTTATCAACAACATGGAGATGGAGGAAATTCAAATGCAGGGATATCAATATACTTGGTGCAACAATAGGTGGGGCACTGACCTTGTAGAAAAGAAATTGGACAGAGGTTTTGGCTCTCTTGAATGGCTACACAGTCACCCCAATACCAAGAATGTTGCTAGATGCTCCTCAGACCACTCTTTGCTGCTCCCTGACCCAGGTCTTCAAAAGGATAGAAATAGCAGAAGATTTCACATGGATAAAAGATGGTTAACCAGACCTGATTTCTCACATGTGGTCTCACAAGCTTGGTCCTCACTAGTTCAAGGCACCCCCTTTTTTCAACTAAAAGAAAAAGTGAAAAAAACTAGGCTGGCCCGCCCTGTTGATTTGGAGTGCAAGTTTTAAATCACAAAATCAGCTCCTCATTGAGTCACTAACTAAGAAGCTGGATGATATCAGAGCAGATAAATCTGGCTCCAATTGGGACAATTGGGATATTACAAGCAAAGAGTTACAAAAGGCACATCATATGGAAGAATTGCACTGACAGCAAAAAAGCAGGCTCGCCTGGATCAAAGATGGAGATGGAAATACAAATTTCTTCCACGCATATACTCTCCAAAGAAGAAGAATGAATGCAATCACAAGACTAATATCACCCACTGGCCAACATCTCACCAATCAGACAGAAATCCAGCAGCACATTTCTGATTTTTATTCTCAACTTTTCTCTACTGAAGGCTCTAGTGGTGATGAGACAATACTGAACCTGATCCCAACATCAATCACCCCTGACATGAATCAAATTCTGCTGCAATAGGTGACGGAGGATGATATTAAAGCAGCACTCTTCAGTTTGAATCCAGACAAAACACCTGGAGAGGATGGTATGTCTGCTTTATTTTATCAACATTGCTGGAACACTATGAAAACTGATTTTGTGGCAGCTGTTTCTAGTTTTTTATACATCTGGCCAGATTTTACAATACTGGAATCATAATATCCTTTCACTGATCCCCAAATGCTCATTTCCTGATTCTCTTGGTCAATTTAGACCCATAAGTGTATGTACTGTAGTTTACAAAGTTATTGCAAAGATTCTGGCCAATAAGCTGCAAGCATGTTTAAGCTGTTGTAACAGTGATTTCCAGACTGCCTTTATCAAAGGTAGGCAACTGCTTGACAATGTCATAATTGCTCAGGAGGTATTTCACTTCCTCAATAGACATGTCTCTGGAAAAAACTATTTTATGGCACTTAAATTAGATCTCATGAAGGCCTTTGACAGAGTGGAGTGGGTGTGTATTGAAAAAATCATGCTTAGATGGGATTCCACCCTCACTTTGTCAAACTAATCACAGCATGCATTTCATCATCTTCCATTTCTTTCAAGGTTAATGGTGATATATGTAGATATATTAAACCAACAAAGGGGATTAGGCAGGGGGATCCATTATCCCCCTACCTATTTATTATTATGGCTGAATGTTTATCTGCTTTAATCCTGGATTCCTCTAACTCTGGCAAGTTGCAAGGTTTGAAGCTCTCAGAAAATGGCCCAACCCTGTCCCATCTGCTATTTGCAGATGATTCATTATTTTTTTGCAGGGCTGGGATTGACCAAGCTCAAGTACTAATGGACATCCTGCAGAAATACAAGCTGTTCACAGGCCAGACAGTGAATCTCAGTAAGTCCACCATTTTCTTCAGCAGGAACACTCCATTACATATTCAAAGGGCCATTTGCAGAATTTTTCAAGGGATCCAATCACACAGATCAACAAGGTATCTGGGCTTACCATTGGGCATATGGAGGTCAAAAATTGAAACCTTTTCATATATACTGGAAACAGTCAAAAGCAAACTCCAAAGCTGGAAATCAAAACTTTTATCTGAAGCTGGAAAGGAGGTTATGCTCAAAGCTGTCATTCAGGCTCTCCCTATTTTTCCAATGTCCTGTTTCAGATTGCCAATTTCATTGTGCACTAACATATCCAGGCTTTGTAGTCAGTTTTGGTGGAACAAAAAAGAAGATGGAACTCAAGGCATACATTGGAAAAGTTGGACAAAGCTAGCTACTCCAAAACTTTCTGGTGGGCTTGGCTTTATAGATCTGCAGCTGTTTAATGAAGCCCTAATTTGCAAACAATTGTGGAAAATCACCACTCAACCAGACCTACTTGTCAGCAGAGTCCTCAAGGATAGGTATTTTCTAAATACCTCTATTTTCCATGCTCACCAATCTCAGAAAGGGTCATGGCTCTGGAACTCCTGGATGGACATCTTGCCAATTTTCAATATATGGCTCATAACAGAAATCAGAAATGGAGCTTCAACCAAAATAGAGGAAATGAATTGGATTCCTAACTTTCAAAAGTCTTGCCCAAATTTGTTGGACATTGCCAGGGGTCACCTTGTATATGTCAAAGATTTGATTGCTGAAGATGGGCTTCATTGGAATGAATGGCTGATTAACCAGGTATTTTCTGCAGAGGATGGTGCTGCCATATTAAAAATCAACTCCTTGCACCCTCACAGAGCAGACAGATACTATTGGGGGCTAGACAAAAAGGGAAATTTTCAGTTTCCAGCACATATAAGTATTTGGTCCAACAAATTGGATCAACCAGAAAGTAGCTCTCCAGCACTCCCCTAGCCATCAACCTACAAAAGAACCTGGCCCTTGAAAATTATGGGAAAAGTCAGGCTGTTCATATGGAGATGTCTAACTGGGACATTACCAGTTTTGGTCAATCTGAGGAAAAGAGGTTTAGAACTTGACACAACTTGCCAATGCTGTGGAGAGGGAGCTGAAACATTAGAGCATGTTCTATTCTCATGTACAAAGGTTGTCAGACTATGGGAACTTGCTCCTGTTTCATGGAATGCCTTAGAAGTTACACTGACTCATTTAAACACTGGTGGCAAAGAGTCTGTCTTCTAGAGCACACTGAAGTGGCTGAGCATAGGATACAACTCACAACATACTTGTTATGGTGGCTCTGGAAGACCCGAAATGCATGGATTTTTAAACAAACAGCTATCCCACCACACATAGTCATAAAAGCAGCACAATCTGACTGGCTGGAGTTCCTGCTTGTCCATAAAAAACTTCCAACATGATCCTGTCCTTTCTGTTTCTTTTATGCTTCTCTTATGTTTCTTCTTTCATCTTTGGTTGTTTGATTTCTCTTGTACTTGTTGGAGGAGATGGTCTTGCTAGGCTTTGAAGCAGTGGCAGAGCATCTTTTCCTTATATATGAATTGTCATGTTTTAGCAGTTTGGGTGTTCTTAGTTGAGGTTATAAGCATAGTTGTCAAAACCGGACCGGACCGGCCGGTCCGACCGGTTGAACCGAGAACCGGCCAATTCACCGGTCCGATTCTATGGAAGAAACCGGCTGTGGCCAAAACCGGTCAATGGCCGGTCGAACCGGCCAAAAAACCAGTTGGTTCAACCTTTTTTTTTTTTTTTTTTTTTTTTCTTTTTGCCAATCCGGTCAAATAATTTTTTATGTATAAATTCTAATACTTTTATAAAACAACTAACCTTTTATGGTTAATGATGTGAGATAAGATGTAAGAATTTCAAATTTCCAATTATAAAGGTAAAGGACTAAAGATAGGCGTGGAAGGAATTTCTTTTCCTATATCCTATCTTTATTTCCTATTATTTTATTGTCCAATGTGGAAGTGTGAGGAAATATTTCTTTTTTTTTTCATAATTTTATACTATCATTTTATTATTTAATCTATATATGGTGTGACCAAAATTTTAAAAAATAAGTCAACTATATTTAATATTTATAAAGTATTATATATTTAAAATATCAATAAATTAAATAACTTAAAAATTAAGTTAACTATATCTATGAAATATTATATATATTTAAAAATATTAATTAATTAAATAACAGTCTAACCGGTTCAACTACTGGTCGGACCAGTGAATCATTAAACCAGTAGCTTGACCGATTCGATGACCGGTCCAGTTTTGACAACCTTGGTTATAAGCCATCATGTGGATGTGCTTCCCATTCTACTATTCTAGTTTTCAGATTTGTTTGTGGACTGATCTTTGTACTAGACTTTTATTTGTTGAGTTATATAATATCATCTATGGTTTCGAAAAAAAAAAAGAAAAAAAATACAGCAACTGCTGTACATCAAATCTATACAACAATATACAATTTAATTTCTCTCTCTCTTCACAATTCTCTCCTCTCTTACTCTCTTCTTCCCCAATTCTAAATTACAGTGAAATCACCATTGTTACCACATCAAATCTATATACAACAATACACAACAGTATGTGTAAGGGATGATAGAGAGAGAGAAGGATACTATATGAGTATTGATAATGTTTGAACATGTGTATCATTATCTTTAATTATAAACAAAAACCCTAAAGTGACAATTTATAACAAAGTGAAATAAAGATATAAATCATTTATTAAATTATTACACATCATTAAAAAAAAAAGTAAAATTGTTATTAATATTGAAAATAATTTTGTACTAATTAATATTCTTTCATTCATTTAGTAATTACAATTTATAATTAGCTACTTAATCAAAGGCACATTCACAATTTCATAAAATCTGTGAGTCAGGGAAGGAGAAACAGAGGAACATTATATATGACAAACTCAAGACACATCTTGTTTAAAGTTTTAACAAACTTCTTTTCCCCAAAGAGTCATAATAAAGCACAAAATGTACTCATAAAAATACTCAAAATTCATAATAGTTAAAAGCTCAAAACCATAAAATAGAGACCAAATATTCTTCTTTTCCAAGAGTTGCAAGAAAAAAACTAATTGAAACCTCTGTAACTCAACTAAAGTCGTCTTGCTCTCTAGTAACGACCAATACCCCAAACTCGGATAACACCATCTGTATAACCACTGAAGAGAGTACTTCCATCAGCACTCCAGTTGAGACAGGTGCAGTATATGACCTGCAATGAAGAAATGACAACATTATCACAATATTAATACAATAAAGCCGCAAACATTACAGTGTTATTCCCTTTAACTAAGTTTAACCAACTTATATCAACCACCCAGCATTTCTAGAGCTCTAGCTACAATTATCCAAGTCAAAGACTGCGCACACGTGCTTGTTATGCATTGTTTTAGTTTCGAGCAAGTATGCAAGTAATGTGCACATCAGTATACACAAATTCTAGACAATCAACTAAATCAGGACTTCTGTATACACCAATACTTAACAATCAACTAAATCAGGACCAGAAATCTAATGTAATGCACCCTCCATTTTGAATTATGTCACTATAGCTTATATATTTGTTTGTAACTATCACAAATCCTAAAAAACCAATCAATAATATACTGCTAACTATTACAAGGACGTAGAAAATTGGGAAAAAAAATACTGATTACTATCACAAGTACTATCACAAGAAGAGAGCAGGAAACATAGAATATTAATAAAAATATCTAAATAAGATTTACAGGATTGAAAAAAATCTTATATGTTGAAATAATCCCTTTGAATTCCTAACTCTGCTTCTTTAAACTAGAACAGAACATATTACTACATAGATGGAGGGAGCAGCATTTTATAAACCTTGAACTACAACGGCCATGTAACATAAACAAAACATGCTTTGGCAACACTAATGACAGCTTTATGAAGCTAGAGTACATATGTTATAGTTCACAAAACATCATGCGACCATTCAAAAAGCACAACAAAAACCAAACACCAGTGTGGATGTGCAAAGCATAACTGGCACCAGAGAGAATCTATGCATAATACAACCACAAATATAACATAGTTTCACACAAAATTACGAAGCAACAATAACTCAAAAGACAATCATCATTAAAACTAGGAATAATAGCAAGATAAAATACTTGAAGTTCATCAAAGTTCACAAAACATCAAGCGACCATTCAAAAAGCACAACAGAAACCAAACACCAGTGGATGCAAAGCATAACTGGCACCAAAGAGAATCTATGCATAATACAACCACAAATATAACATAGTTTCACCCAAAATTATGAAGCAACAATAACTCAAAAGACAATCATCATTAAAACTAGGAATAGTAGCAAGATAAAAACTTGAAGTTCATCAAACTTAAGACATTGAAGTTATCTTCTAAAACAACTAGCACACCTACCTTAGGTAGGTTCAAAGTCAACCCTTGAGTGGATGTATTAGCAAGAACAATTCAACAACAAGGCAACATCAATACATATAGTAAAAGAGAGCGAGAGAGAGAGAACAAAACATTACCTTTGTCTTCCCGGTAGCAGTCTGGGCGGCCCCTTCAGTTGCTATATCACCGCTCTCTTGCTTGAGGTCCACCTTGAGATCCACAACAACGCTTTTGCTCTCCAAATCCCAAATCTTAATGCTGGCCTCAGTCGCAGCACACAGCCAATACCTGTTAGGGCTGAAGCAGAGGGCGTGGATAATAGAGCCAGCATCCAGCGAGTAGAGCTTCTTCCCCTCGGCCAGATCCCAGAGCAAAATCACACCATCTTTCCCACCACTGGCGCACAGAGAGCCGTCGGGGGAGACAGCCGCCGTGTTGACGTAGCCAGAGTGGCCAGCCAAAGTCGACCTGAGCTTACAATTGCTCAGGTTCCAGATCTTAACGGTCCTGTCCCAGGAGCCGGACACGATGGTCGGCTGAAGGGTGTTGGGCGAGAACCTCACGCAGGAGACCCAGTCGGTGTGAGCGTCCTGATCCTGGATGGTGTACTTGCACTCGCCAAGGGTGTTCCAGAGCTTGATGGTCTTGTCGCGGGAGGCGGACACGATCTGGCGGTTGTCAACAGAGAAGGCGACGGAGAGGACGTCCTTGGTGTGGCCGACGAAGCGACGGGCGGTGACGCCGGTCTGGAGGTCCCAGAGGCGGAGCTCTCCGTCCCAGGATCCGGAGAGGGCAAATTGGCCGTCGGAGGAGAGGACGACGTCCTGGACGAAGTGGGAGTGGCCGTTCATGCGGCGGCGGGCGACGCCGAAGTTGCGGTCTTCCTTGGTGAGGGTCCAGAGGATGATGGATTTGTCGCGGGAGGAGGTGACGATCATGTCGGAGTTGTCGATGGGGGTGGCGATGGCGGTGACCCAATCGGTGTGGGCGCGCATGGTGCCGCGGAGGACGAGCTGTTCTTGCGCCATTGGTGGATTTGGGAGTGGAGACGGCTGAGAGTGTGTTTGGGGAGAGTGGCGGAGGATGCTGCGAGTGAAGAAGCCCTAAATGGTGTGGACGAGAATATATATAAGGGGATTGGGGATTTATTAGGGTTTTGGAGGCCCATAACATAAAAATGCTTATTATCTTTTTTAAAATGCAACTAGTATTTTGTAAAAATAAACTTAGTGTTGATATGAAGATTGATTGTATAAATTAATCACAGCATCAACATAGTTTATTATATATCAACAAAAATTCTATAATATCATCATTCTAAGTAAACTGTAATTGATATAATATCATCATTTTAAGAAAAACTATTGTGCATAGTCAATGGATATTAAATTATGTAAAACGTTTTAATACATCCAAGTTAAGTTGTTTAAAACAATATTAATATTATCTTTATTATCCAATCACATCCACTTAATTAATAAATTAATAAAAAATGGATATCACATATCACATGTAAATATTTAGAAACAAACGTAGTAAATATTTTCGTTCTATTATTTATAAAAAAAAATGTTATGTATTATGTGGTGTTAACTCTTTGAAATATATTAGTTTAGTCTTTTTCAGATAATTTTATCATAATTTAAAAAATACAAATGGTTAATACTGATTTATAGTAAAAAAAAATTATCATGTTTAGGAAAATACCAACATTTGATACGGATTTACTGTTAAAAATTTAAATCATAATTTAACAATTAACTTTGCGCTAATTCATACTGATTTCTTAGAAAAAAATGTGAGCAATAATGTTTTTTATATATATTTTAAATACGATTTAGAAATTTACATTATTGTTTATATTTAAAATAATATTTTTTACTTGTAGAATTTTTCGGTATTTTATTATAATTTTTTTTAATTCATATGCAATGAATTTATACATGTTTTTTGAACTGATATATAATTTTATTAATTTTTAAGTGCTAAAGATGACTTAATTTTGTGATAAAGAAAATATAAAACTATTTATTTAGTATATTATTAAAAAGATTTGATACCAAATACAAATATTGTTAACTGTTAAATATATTTATATTTATGATTTAAGTTATTCAATCTTTATAATTTTAAAAGTTCTATGGATAGATTACAAGTCTACATGGGCCAGTCCAAATTACCCTTGGTGTGTCGAAAAATTCTTAATCGGCGTGAATCTAACAGTACGTAGCCCACATTGGAATGACGCCCAAGCGGTGAACTGTTAAATATACTCAGCCTAGACTCGTGAAGAGAGCCTAAGAATTCACAGTCCCCATGTCGATCTTGCCTCACACAAAATGTCAATCCGCTAGCTGGCACCATATATTGATCTCTTTGCTAAATGTGAACAAGAACCGGTAAAACAATCACTCGACAGGTCCCACCATTAAAAGTCGAAATATGGGTACCATCATAAAAAATCGGATTTTGCATTGTGACAAGTGTCATGCGTCTAGCTCTTGGTTGGCAAACAACCATCATTATTTTCTTATTTTTTCATATATAAATTCAACATTTAATACTTCACAATAGCACACGTAAAAAAAAATTAAAAAAAAAAAACGTCTCTTTCAAATATTTTCAAACACTCATATGTTTCTCTCTCATTCGTCACTATGGGTCTCTCATTTGGCGATATCTCTAATTACTCATGTATGTACTTAATTAGGTTAGTAACTAATTGTTGTCAATAAATTGGTGCTACAAGGAGTATCTAATCAAGGATTTGGGTAAATCTTCTCGCACTTACCACGCAAAAATCTACATGTTAGTACGAGCCATGTCGTCCTCAAATCATGTCGTAGGCAGAACAACGAGGGAAACTCTCACCCTCATCAAGATGTTACCAAAATTTCCAAAATTCTGCTTTTGTGAAAGGCCTCACTGATCTTTTTGCCCAAGTACTCCATAATAACCTTCAAAATAATTCTAAAAAAAATCCTGTCACAAAAAATCTTCTCCAAGCATATATTTTTGTATCCCAAGAAGGTCATTCTCATGGCTATCATGACTAGGTGACAAAGAAATACAGAAAGTTGATCGCCCAAAAGATCGTTGAGTATGAACGAAGTCAGGCCAACATGAGTTCAAACCTTCGATCGGTGTTCAATCGGTTGGGAAACAACCCCAAGCAAGACGGTCTCTGCCAACACATCACCAAAAGATTCCTTGGAAAAGAGATGAAGGAGATCGCCTTCACTGAAACAGTGGATAGCCCAGCTGGAAGCTCGCTAAACCTTGGAGACGACAAATCGGTCGATCTCAACCCTCATTCATCCCCCAAATGCGTATCAATATATCACACTTCACCACTCTCATCACATATTTTGAGCGAGGTGCTCCCCGTCAAAATCAAAGTCCCCCAACTTAGCCTGCACAACAATGATAGCGATCTCGATGCTCACTTGGAACAGTATACATGGTGGATGGATTTAAATGGAGCAAGTGATGCCCTCCGGTGTTGGGCTTTTTCTTTGACTCTAGGGCCCAAGCAGCAACTGTGGTACCATTCATTGCCCCCGAGGTCGATCCACAATTAGGAGCAATTTCGATCGGCGTTTCGCATGTGGGATCGCAAGTATGCATGATTCTCAAGGAGTCTATCACAAACATCGTGCAACAAGCTGATGAAAGTTTGAAAGATTACATCGTTCGTTTCAATGCCCAATTCCAAAATATGGAGTCATGCCATTATGAGACTTTGTTTATCTCAGCGTATGCCGGTCCCTGGCTATATTCGATGTTCAGGTGGTTACTTTGTTAGAGTAAGTCATGCCATTATGAGAACTATTCTGGAAACCTTTAAGATTGGAGAGTAGGTCACGAGTACAACTTCATCATTTTGTGATCTGCACTCTATAGTCTTCAGGTCGCCGCCTCCATTTTATCACTATGCTCTCAACTTTCTTACTATCGATGGAGAAGGCACATACTATGACGATCAACGGGCCTCCCGTGAATGCTTCATGGCAATCCCATCCATGGAGATTTACACCCTCCAGAGGGAGGGAAGTTCATCCTCAACACCTACTCATCCACCCCTGGACCATATAAATGATAAGTTAGACCTCACCCGCGATTGGGGTCGTCGCCCGGGAAGGAGCCCATACAACCGATCAAGGAGTTGGACCCACACACGCCTTTTAAAGAGAGAAGTGTCGATCGACCATAACCAGTCGAGGAGAGAGAACTTGTTTGCATGGACGAACCCTCATTCACCTTATATCTACAGATTAGCAAGAATCTAATCGAGCCTTACTAATCCTAGTTAATTGGCTTTTTGAAGAACAAACAGCTCCGCCCTTCTGCTGAAAAGGAAAATGAATTTACCATGAAAGAAGGCTGCGAGTGATGCTTAGAGTTGAAGGCAACATGGTATAGGATGAGGCTATTTATAGAAAGTGGTAATCCTTGATGGTCGTCCGCCCTCTAGCTTCATTTTGTTGACGGTCGATCGCCGACGGTTGCGAATTGTAATTATGGAGTGGTTAATTCAGGGTGACTACAAAGTAATTAGTGAAGTTTTGTGACAATTTTAAAAGAATAAAACAAAACTACTCAAATGAAAACAAGGAAATAAAAGAACACGATGTCGTCGATATGTTGTAGAGATCAACGAGGAGAATGTATTCTCCAGAAGAATATATTAAGATTTTTTGTGATGGATGTGTTACATATGATCAATGGTGATCGTAATGGTGTTATTGTGCCTTCATTCTCTCTTTTTTATCTCTATTTTTTCATATTCTTTCTTCTCATATCATGTTCTTCTTTGAGCTGAGATGGCTAAACTTATATATAAAAAGATAATGGTGTAATAAATGTCATAAGCCAACTAAAGGCTTAGGGTTGCACCGTATGTGTCCACGCAAAACTCGCCTTTTGAGGATGTAACCGGTTGAGCGGTCGGACGGTGGCTTTAGCGGTTCTATATTCAAACAGATTAACGGTTCAAGATAAGAAGAACAAATGTTCATTTTTATATATAATAACTATACTTAAAATAAATGATTAATGCTAAGTATCACTCTAATCTAAATGTATATTCAATATCTATAGTTAAAATAAATGATCAATGTTGAGAAAATTTTTTTGTTTCAGTTTTGACTTTCGTTTACAAGGAAAAAAAATTTGCACATCAAGGATTCCATTTCCCGACATGATGATACCTCGTTGAACTTGCTCACAAAACTCAAATTGCTTTATTTTATTATTTATTTCTTTAAATCATTCATCTTAAGACCGATTATGTGATGTCTTACCCAAACAGATAATAATCATATCAAATCTCCTATCATTCCCGAAACAGTAACTCAATTCAATCCACAAATGAAGTTGACATTGCAACTCGCAAGCCCCGTCGTAGCACCAAGGATGCATGCTTTCTGCAATCTCGCTTAAGACAAAAAAATATATATGTTAACTAGTGGTCGTCAAAATCAACGATACTCAACTTTGTAAACTGACCAATTCTATACATTACCTGCAAAACAACAAATATCCTATAAACTGTGAACAGGCTTCCATTTCCAGATGAAACTCCACTCCCTTTTTAACACTGTTATCCCACCCATCTTGAGCCCATTTGTTCGCCTATTCTTTAGTTTGTCATAAAACAGAGTCCTCAACTGCTGGACTCCCATTAATCTGAGCTTCCACCGAGTCAAACAAGCCCCAAGTCCGCTTCTTTTTCGTTGTTTT